AGAAGAAAAGCAGGTCCCAAGATTCTAAACCACGTAAAATTGTTTCCTGCTGCTCATGACCAGACCCAAGTCCTTTTAATTCAAGACTAGACAGAACAGCTGGAGTTGCTCTCGGCCTTGCTGCTCCATCGAAATCTCTGCAATTTAATATAAATCAAGGTGTTAACTGAAATTTTTTTTTTGCCATATGTACTTGTTTCCCTGGTACTTCCAGAAGATTCACAAGTCCCTGGGTTTGAATGCTTGCTTACACATGGATGTGACATGCAGCATTACGTAGAGGTGGTCAGGATTTTGGACTAATATCTTCCTCCCCGAGAGGAAAGTTTAGAAAATGTCCAGGTACCTCATGGTACTTGGATGGTCATTTGTAATTTTCAGAAAAGAAACTTCAGCCATGTATAGACCCCCATTCTGTCCTACTGCCCTCTTCTGGTGGGCAGAATGATGGAATAGGAGTTGTTCATGGGCAGCCTGCAGTTTTTAAGGATCCCTGGTAGACAGGCCTCTGTGCTGAACACTAATACAAGCCAGGGGAATGAGTCTCCTCATTCACATCCTAGGACCTCAACACTTAGAGATCCAACTGATATTTCTGAAGAACTGAACAATGGCTAGGTATGGGGACCTCATCCATTGCTGGGGATTGTGATGGTAAGTTTTGGCTGTTTGAAGGTTTGAGAAACCCAACCTGGTTGCTTGTTTACCTTTCATCCTCAGGATGGCAGCACTGCACTCTCTATAGCCCTGGATGCGGGACACAAGGACATCGCCGTTCTTCTGTATGCCCATGTCAACTTTGCAAAAGCCCAGTCTCCGGTTAGTGTGTGCATTTGGAAATAGGCTAACATCCACAGACTAGCAGGCCCCTTCCTCCAGGAGTTAACAGGGAACATGGGTTTTATGCTAAAAAAATTCATTTCTATCCCATCCCCAAGACCTGAGGTGTAGTGGAGGCTACTCCTTGGGAAACACCTGGGTCTCATGTGGAAGGTTTTATTCTATGCCTAATTATCCAAGTGGTTTAACCCAGGGATACATGTCACCTTCCTGAAGCTATCAGTGGGCAGCTTGAAGTCCCAGCACAGCTAGACATACTGAGCCTCACTCACCTTGGAAGAAGGCCTACTCCTGGTGAACATCTGTCTCACATCTGCAGCCAGCACTCTTAGCTCATGGGTGGTTTTCAGCTATGATGGTCCAAGTTCCAGTGGCATAGGGGACACTGTGTCTGAGGTCATCTATTAACCCCCAATATATTTTTCCCTTTCCTGTTCTCTAGGGCACCCCAAGACTTGGAAGGAAGACATCTCCTGGTCCTACCCACCGAGGCTCATTTGATTGATTATTTGGAAATAGCCTTCCATTTACATGCCACCGTGAAGCTGCTAATTGTTCCTGTTGGGGTGACAGATACTGAATGTATATGTTCTGTGCCTGAGCTCACCAGCAAACAGAAGCATACGGCACAGGTTAAAGGCTGACACTTAGGGGAAGCAGAGCCATGGGGGATTGCCAGCTTGGGCACCTCCCCTCTGGCCATCTTCTCTGCATGGGGTGTGCTTGAACCCCATCTCAGTGGCTGTTGAGTCTCTGCTCCGTTATGTACAGTTCTAGGATATGGTAACCTGATCTGAAAGGGCACCTTCTTCCTATAATTCAAAGAAGTGTAATTCTCATTGTTATATTTTTGAAATTTTCCACAAATATATATTTACCCAAATGTGGAACCATTGGAAAATGCTTAAAAATTCCATTCCAGCATGGTTTTGTTAAGGAAGTTAAGGTGACTTTGATCATCAGCAACTTGGGCTGGTAGCTTCTGGTTTAAAAATAGAAGATGGAATCTCAAACCATATAAAACTCATGAAGCATTTTCGGTGGGTTTTATCTAGGTGGATGTATTATAACTTTTTATATAAAAGATATGACTATAAAATTGACACAGTATTTTCAACTTTTATATTCCATAGTAATTTAAAAAGAATTACATATAACACTACCACATTTTTAACAATTGCACAACCCTGTCTATATCTAATGATAAAGGTTGAATTGTTAGAGGAATTGGCTCTGTATTTGCCTCTAGAGAAACAGTGTAGTTCTCCATTTATTTATGGATTCCTTTATATCATGTCACATTTACTTTAAAGTCCTGTATGTATTTAAATGTTTGAAGTGCCTTAGACTCTTGCCATATTTTCAAAATAAAATTTCATTAAGCTCTTGTCCTTGCTTCATCTGACAGCTGTCTGCCCAGAGTCTGTTGACTTACAGCCATGGCAGCAAACTGATAGATGGATCGAGAGGAGAGCAGTGCACTGTCCGCTAGGCTTGGGCTCCTAGTGGGTGGGTCCTCAGAGTGCGAATGACTCCATCCCTGAGTTACGTGTTATGAGGTTGATATATAAGACTATATTAGACAAACATCTCATCAGTCAGGTAATCTCCCAGGGGAACCTCTGACTCTTCTCAGGTACAATTATCCTTAACTCGGTTGATTGTGATAGTGACAAAAAAGGAGACATGAAATCAGACCTTTTTTTTTTTTTAATGTTTTGCATCTTGTAGAGAAGACCCTGCAGAGATGTAAAGCTTAGGTGGCAATTCAGGCCGAGCCAGGGTAATTGACTGCTCCCAATACCGAGCCCTTCTTTTCTGCCCATGGTAGATCTGCTAGCTGTAGGATTTAGGCTAAGTATTGGATCAGGTAGTTTTTCCAAGCCCAAGTTCCTGGGGATCCCAAATGGCACATTAAATTAAAGCTTGAGAAGAGGAGCCATGTTTTGTTTGCCCCTTAATGGCCTGACATGCATTTTGAGCAAAGAGGACTATACCTCAGGTGGTTTGTGATCCTGGGGATTTTCTTTGTTCCATCTGAGAAAGAAAGGTATTAATATTTTAAATGCTGAGGAGATAAAACCCCTGCCTGTGTGTGCTGTCTTTTAAAATTGAGCACCAGAAATCTAAAAAAGAAAAATGAGTGCTTGTTTTATCTTTGAGTGAGGTCTTGTACAATGTATATCTAACCTCTCAGTAACACAGGCTGGGGCTGACCTTGTTTGCTCTCACAACATGGGCACTTCAAATGCTCTTTATCTTGAGATCCTGGCACTCTACCTACACAAGCCTGATTATCCCCAGTGGTACAGCTGTGAGTTGCTGAGGTACAGTTCCATAAAGGGACTTGTGACAGGGGGCTTGGGCAAGGTCCCCAGCTGAGTTAGGCAAGAAAAGTGGGAGGAGTCCTGCCCTATGCCAAAGAGGTTACAGAGAGCCAATTTCCCAGAAACCCTGGCTCTGGAAACTGAGCAGCTGAAGGCTGGAAGCCACCCTAAGACAACAGGAATGGAGCAATGGGGACCTTGAGACGTTGATGCTAAAGTCATAAATGGCAACTTGTTCTGTTACTATTATGAAATGACTACTGGACCTCTCACCATGGGGAGATAATTTGCTACTGGAGACATTTACCAGGAACATGCTACCTAGCACAAGTCTCAGAATACGTGAGTATTGAGCCCACTTCTGTAATTTGTCAGTACTCGAGAACAGTTTTACCCCTGACTTTTTCATACTGCAAGTATGTGACAATCCTTGTATATAGAAAAACTTATTTTTCCCCTCAAAAGAAATAATGAGCAACTAACCTTCCTTTAAATCCTGGTGGATACTTTTTCAGGTTCCCTGATGCAAATAGAAACACCTTTGTTTTTATGATGCTTTTACTTAAGCTTTCCCTTCACAGCTTGCATGAGAGCTTCCTGAGGAGTGGTAGAAAATGCACATTTCAGCCGCACCCTGGGAATTCTGACCCTGTAGCCTGGGAATCTGTATCAGCACGTATCTAGGCATTACGACCTCACTAAGGATTTTTAACCCCAAATTATGAGAATCTACATAAGTTCTTTTCCAAACAAGTCAGGCAGGCTAGAGTGGGGTGGGGTGGAGGGAGCTCTATCCAGACCAGAAACACTAGATGTTGTCTTTGATGTTTCAGAGCCTGTCTTGCTGCTGTTGATGGAGATACCACAGTCTGTGTCATTTGTCCACTCTGAGTGGCAATTTGATATAAATCAAGATGCATCTAAAAGGTCTGGAAACATGACTGCCCTGGTACCATTTTCTGTGCCAACAGGAACGTGAGGCTTAGTCAGTACTAACGTGACAGCAGCTGAGCAGACAGGCAGCTCTTCAAGTGTTGTCCAACTTGATCTTTTGCTTCCCCACTTCCCCATGGAGCTGGGCCATTACTGCTCAGGAAGAAGGCCATGAACCCTTGCTTTGGCTTTGAGATGACAATTTTCCATTTTCTTTTTCACTAAATTTTTTTAAGCCCTGAGCTTTAGCCAGAAACTATTTCATTCTACTCTCTGCCTAAGGAAATTACTAATCACATGTTTGCTCTTATTCAGTATGGCTATAATTTAAAGGCCAACTGATTATTAAATATATATATTTAATAAAGTGCATCTTGTTGAACATTCTTACCACAAAAGGATGTGGCTGGACTCAGCCACTGGGTCCCAGAGTTGCTCAGGTTCAGCTCCCTCCCACTATGGTCACTGTCTCCTCTGGGCAGAATTGAACAGTCCCAGTCCACTCTGAGTATGAAGATGGAGTCAGGATTTGTAATGGCTTCCCCAAGATACCTACCCTAAATTCAGACTCTGCAGAGAAGCTGAAAGGCAAAAGGCCATTTTTAAGTGGGTGCATCCTTGTAAGAAATGTCAGGTGCAGTGGGTATCTGCAGAGGAGTCAGCCTTTAGGAAATCAGCTGCCTCTCCACTAATACTTTTGATGATCAATTAGGCAAGAGAATGGAAATACAGCCCTAAATTTCATATAATGGAAGCTGCTTAAAAAATACTCCTATTCCTCCTCTACTTAAGCCATAACAAGTTTTACACTTGGTTCCCATTCCCCAGCCCACGAGGAACCAGTTTACCCCGTCTTAAAAGGCTGGACTTAGCCACAGGGTGGTTATCAAGAGGACATACCTGAACTGTGACGGGCAGTTCTGCCAGCACTATCATGTGACTCCAGGCTGTATAGACTGGTTGTAGGAGACCAGGTTGTCGACCTCATGGACCTCTTGTCTGGCAACAAAGAGATTCTTCTGACTGGTCCCTTCTGCTCTATTAGGAAATGTTGGATGTGTGTAAATAAACAAGAAATAAAGACAATAGTCATTAACTGAGTCTCTAAGAGTTCAGAGAGTTCACCCAATTACACCTGCCTGAAATATCCCCTTCTACAAAAGCCAGTCTTTTTTTTTTCTTTTGTGTGTGTGTGTGTGGTACTGGGGATTGAACCCATGGCCTTGTGCATACAAGGCAAGCACTCTACCAAAAAAGCCAATATTTTGACAGGAAGCTCACTAGGATCAGCTTTTCTGATCGAATTTGTAACACCATCGGTCAGGACTAAAGTTCTAGTGCCTGGTTGAATGAGTGTGTTTAAAAAAAAAAAAAAAATGCATAGAAACCAGAAAAGAGTTGCCACAGGGGGCAGGCAGAGGACTAGGAAGGAGCAGAGGGAGTGAGCCCCTGGTGACAGCTTCCTGGCCTGTGTGGTAGTGGCACTGTTACATCCATTGTAGCTTATTAACTTCAATATTTTTTAGTTTATAAAAAATGAAAAAGCAATAAGAAAAGATCTTGAGAAGGTGTCAATTTGAAGGTCAAGAGGAATGAATGTGAAAACCGGAAGCTCTCAGCCCTGCCATTTCCATAATGTTAGTACACGGTTTTGCGCATGGTGGATGCTGTGGTCCACTCATGGCTTTGCATAGTAGCCATTAGGGGGCTGATCTCAGACAACCCACTTCTTCTGGGCACAAAACAGGATGTACTTGCCTGCTTTTGAAATTAGATTTGACCATGTGTGTTGTTTCACCAACAAAACATCAGTAGAAATGACAATTCCAGAGGGAGGCTTGAAAAGCCAGTGCGCCAGTCACCACATCTATGCACCTACCTCCCCGCAAAGGATCTTAGAAACAAGTGCTGAAATGTACATCCCTCCTTGCCAGCCTGTATTGCAGGACTATCATGAGTAAGAAATAACCATCATGTTAAGTTTTGAGAAGTTGGGGTGATGTTACTACAGTATAATTTAGATTGTCTTTGATAGAGAATTTGGTTCCTGAAAGTGGGGTACCACTGTAACCAAGTGACTGAATAGTTTATCTGTGGACTGCAACAAAACTATCACAGGGGACTCAACCACAGAACACCAAACACTATGTGAATGACTATTTTAATTCACAGAGGACATATACCAGGATCATCTATATCACATGTAATCTATCACATGCAGTGAATGTCCTCAGCATTAAAGAACAGTTTCCTGTTGAAAGAAACGCCATTTGCTATGCACCTTAGGAGGCAGACTGTGTCTCATAAACCTATAGCTCTCAAACTTCCTTGTTCATTGAAATCCCCAGGAGAGGTTGTGAAAACAGATCGCTGGGCCCCATCCCCAGAGCTTCCAGGCCAGTAGATCTAGGGAAAGCCCCAAGAATTAGCATTTCTAACAATTTTGCAGGTCTGCTGCTGATGATCTGGGAAGCACACTTGAAGAAACACTACTCTGGGGCAAGGGTTATTAGTGCAGACTTTTCTCACCTCAACTGCCAAGAACCAGCTGATGGCTGGCCTAAGTGTCTCCACTCCTTCATCTGTGTGGGATTTTCTTTCATTGCAAATGATTTTGCAAAGACACCATTGCTAATGGCAAGTCTTTCTTTCTGCAGCTCTACAATATATCAAGTGTTTCTAAATCCTGTATTCACCCAGAATTGGGTTTTAGAATTTGGCCAGAGGACCTGACTTGAATCACAGTAATCTTCTAAGAAAAAAAAATGACCCTCACATTTCACTTAGAAAGGAAGAAATCTTCCTTTATGCCAACCCACTGAGTCTCTCCTTGTGTTGGTTCACTCCCTAGTGAATGCTCGCTTAGAAACCACGGTCTCTTCTCAACCTCAGCGAGGCGCAAGGGGAGAACGTGCTTCATCCCCATCCCTCAGCTGCTGCCTCTGAATTCCGCCCTCTGTTCTTTTTCTTCCACTGGGCAGAAGCACACAATGGCTGTTCTTTACAGAGCCAGCACTGTGGTCATCCTCAATGTTCACGCCAAAGTCTGAGACAGAGTCATCTGTGAGGGAAAGTCACAGGGGACCATGGGACCAGGAACCAACTGGAGGGATTCCCCCAGCCTAAAGGCACAGAATGTAGGTCACATTTACGCTGCGGGGTCAGAGAAGAGCTGAGCTGAGCAACGAGAAGCAGAAGAAATCTGTTTTACTGGGAAACTAGAACCAACTTGTTTATATCCTCCCTGTCTATAAATTATATCTCCAAAAGACAAGACTCACTTTTTAAAAAATTTCTGATGTTGATTGATGGAAAGCCTTGGATAACCAAAGGAACATAATGAAGTTCCCCACAGGCTTCCATCATTGTCAGGATATATGGCCAAATACACAACCCAATAGCCAGAAGCTTGGTGTAATAAACCCTGCTGTAGATTCTGGTCTGTATATTCTAAAAGGTAGAACAGAGCACTTTGATGTACCTTTGTGTGTCAGAGTTTAGAGGAGGTCAATATTCCTACAACCTCCAGAGCCAAGGCTCTTGGACCCAGGAATACAATGACCGATTCTTAGCTGTGCTTCTAATCCATATTAAAGTTAGGAAGGCCAAACCCTGCCTTTACTCATCAGTAATCTAAAAATTGCCTCTTAACCATCCACGCATATTTCAACCTTTGCATGTAGAGGAACCTGATCCAGATGCCACAGAATGCATGTTAACTGGTGCAAACAACTGCTCCCCTCCTCCCAGGCAGAAAAGGGTAACACCCCCATCTATGGAAATACAGGGAGTCACTCATCTGGCTTTTGCTTCCTCCTGCTCACTTGATGCCTAACAAAGACTTTTCAGGTTGTGCTCATTCTCTGGTTTCTCCCAAGATAGTAAATGCATCCACAGAGTCGAAGGCCAGTGAAAGCTCTTCAGCTTGGGGCAGTGCAAGTGGAGTGCACTCTACGGGGAGCCATTTTATTTGAAAGTGAAAGTTACTTCTAATAATTCTTCAAAGAGTCCACCCCTCTTTGATTTCTAAGTAGGCCTGTCAATGACCTGTGACCACAATAGTGCTACATAGCAAAGCCCTCAAAGCTGCAGGGACATACAACAATAAGCGTTTCTTGCTTACAAGTCTGGGTGGTCAGTGAAATGGCTCTGCTGACCTTGGCCAGTCTCACTGATGTGGGCTGACGGGTCATGAGATTGAGAGGATTCAACTTGGTTCCACATGACCCTAATCTCCAGCCAGACAGCCCAGCCATGTTCCCACGGCTGTACAAAGATGCAAGAAAACTAGTAGGCAAGGATTATTGGGGCCTAGGTTCAGAACTGGCATCCCATCATTTCCATAGCATTCTGATGAAACCAGCAAATCACAAGTCGAGCCCACATTCAAGGAAATTGGGAAACAAATTCTTCAGTGAAAGAAACTATAAAGCCACATGCCAGAGTATTTGGCTATCGAAAGAAATAAAGAATTTGGAGCCATAAAAGGCAATAAATCCATCATAGTGGAATCCACCTTTAATAATAGCCTGGCCAGGATGTTGGGATTGCTCAAGAGACATACTTCTATTGACCTACGTGATACCTGTGGGAAAGGGTGGAGATAGAAAATCGGATTCGCCCTTGAGATAAACTGATGTTTGTGGAGTGTTCTACCTGGTAGAGACCTGATGTAAATTCTCAGGCATATCATCGGTCACTACCCTATCACTATAGGAGAGCCCATAACTAGGGTTTTCTGCCACAAAGCACCCAGTGGCTGTGAAAGTGGAAGGTAGAAAATTGCAACTTCTTAGAAATTCTGGGGTTGATGACCCATACTAATTGAAGAGGGTTATCATGGAGTCTTGGGAGCTCAAAGGAGGTGTTTGAGGAGGTCCAAGGTGGGACTGCGTGAGTCATCTCAGAGTTCCCTTTGACTCTAAACTGAACATTATTTTTACCACAAGTATGGCTACTTCCTGGGGCCAATGGGGGGTGCATTCCACAATCATTTCTGAATTCTTGTCCTTCAAATTGCCCTGAAGCAGTCTTATACTGAGTAAGGGTGGCTCAGTCTCTGGGCACACCCAGATACTAAAAGGCATCACTTGTCACCTTTTGATAGCTGATCCCAGCCTAACCTGTCACTTAGGGTTGGACCTTGGTTAGGCCATGCTAGGGTGTGTGAATGTAAGGTTGGGGTGGTGAAGCTGGCACAAAGGAGAGCTTTACCACTTGCTAATGAAGTTAAAGGAATTCCTTGCTGCTTAAGGACATCTTAGCCCTTCTGGCTTGTTCTGAATAGATGCTCTATACTGAATCTACTCAAGTACTGAGGTGTGTATTCCCTGCTCCTACTGGGAGGACGGAACACATCACAGACATCATTTGGTCAAACATGACACATAGGAACAGGGAGAGGTAATAGAACAAGGAGGGCAATTACGTTAACTAGCAAATGCTTTCTGAAGATGTGGTTAAATGGTCAGTGATCTGACCATGCCCCTCCTCCCTCCCAACCCCTGCTCACAGAGGAAGGCTGAAACACCTGGTGGCCTGTGGCTTTTCTCTGCAGACTGAGGTGTTCCTGAACTGACCTAGATGACTTCTCGCATCTGCAGGGGTGATCCCACTGCAGCTGGCTCCACATGCCACAGAGGTCTTCTTGTCTGTGCCCGAATTCCACATCACCAGGCCCAGGCCTGTGGCTTCTCAGACTCTCATCTAGGGGTCTCATTTTCCTAACAACCCAAATGGCAAGCAGAACCAGCCTTATTTGCTGAGTTTGAGAGGAGGATGTCTGGCGCAGAGGAGAGTATAGAATCTGTCCAGGGCAGGGCAGTCTGCAGGCTTGTGGCAAGTTTCAAGGCAGTTGTTAACTTCTGAAGGGTAGTTGTGTTAAGAAGGAAGAGACAAGCTTTATGGTTCCCCAAGAAGAAGAGGGTCTGAGCACTGAGCCAAAAATCCAACTAGCACATAATAAAACATTTAAATGGGCACCCCCAGAGGCCATGAGCCTTAGTTGATTTAGTCAGTCAATTAAATTCACTAAGTAGATGCTTGTTCAACTACATAAACTGAATGAGCACCTGTGATCCTTCTGTATGGGGCTTTATCAAGGGGTGTGAGGTTGAATGGGCCTCATGAGGTCCCAGCCAGTGCAGGGATAAGTCGACCTCCAACACCCATCAGGGCCCTAGATTCCAGCCTGACCCATCTGCTCCCCCTAGTGGCCAGTAGTGGACACACCCCAGCAAGAACTATGTTACAATAGTTTGTCACAAAGGACATATCAATATCACTATAGCATTTATAAAAATTGAACAAATACGAATCTCAATGTATTTTAGGTTGTAATAATCAGTATCATTTCATGAAACTTTACATGCATATATGTTCTGGGTCCCAAAGTTAAATGCATTTGTTAGAAGTAGGGTGGAAGTTTAAAATGTTTGCAAAATCCAGATCTAGAACATGGTGCAAGCAGATCCTGCACAGTACCTCATGGTGGGGGGGAATTGTCTTTAAGCACCCATTTGGACTCTGTACTTCTCCCCACCCCAAGTCCCTGGGTCAGGGACTTGGGATGGGGAGAAACACAGAAGCAGGAGATACAGTCCCTGCCCATCAAGGGGCTAATGACACAGCTGAACAATGGAAGTTACCACCTGAGGCAGGAGAGGCAGGTAGAGCCCAGGACAGGCAGAAGTGCTGTATAAACAGAGTAGGGATCTGGGATGTCACCTGCCATGTCACTAAGGAACCAACAGCCACACAAAAGGAGAGGAACAAATTCATAGGGATAGACAAAAGGGAATGAAGGAAAGGGAAGGAGGATGGGGAATACAGGAAGTAGAAAGGCCAAATTCTCCCCAAAGCCATGTTATATTTCCCCTGTTAAGTGACTCAAGTTCCAGACAGGAAGTAGAAAATAAGATTTATTCTCCCCCAGGGAAAAGACCGAGTTGAGTCATACTAGATTTTTGCATAGAATGAATTAGACAAGACTTTTCTATCCTTATATATGAATATAGGACCAGTGTAAAGCCACATCATATATAACCACAAGAATGGGAAGGTACACTCCATGTATGTATAATATGTCCAAATACACTCTACTGTCAGATCTACAAAGAACAAATATTTTAAAAAGAGAAAAAACCTACATCATGGCAGGTTGGAACTGGAAAGAACATGCAGGCTAATGTCACCACCTCATTTTTTTTTTCTGGTTACCAAGAAAAGTAATTCACAGCAAGTGTCTCTCCATTTTAAAGTCAGCCTTTCTTTTTTCACTAGCCTTTGTGTTGGAATTTTTGTGGCAAAATACATAACATGAAGTTTGTCACTTTATTTAAACATACAATTCAGTGGAATTAAGTACAGCCATGATCATGTAACCATCAGTCTCCATTTACAGATCTGTTTCATCACCCAAAATAGAAACTCTGCAACTATTAAGAGGTAACTAGGTTTTCCCTGTCCTGGGCCGAGGTGGCCTAAATTCTCGTCACTATACTTTTGTCCACTCTAGATTCCCCACATAGGTGGCATCAGGCAGTAGTTACTCCTTGCAACTGTTTCACTGAGCAGCATGTTTGTAAGGTTCATCGTGTTCTAACCTGTCAGAACTTAATCTTTTTGTGGCTGAATAACGTTCCGTTGCGTGACTAAGCCATATTCCACCCTTCCAGTCATCTGCAGATGGACATGCAAGTTGCCACTGCCACCCTGTTTAGACAGGATGGGGCTGGGGGCTCAGTTACCCACTACCTCGTGGGAATCCTGACCAGTAAGGCCAGGCCTCCTGCCTTCCGGGCCAGGACTTTGTCACTAATGCCAGCTACTAGACAGCCCGTCTTGCCTTGAGGCCATTCTACTTCACATTCTGCTCTGGTTTTGATGGTGAAAACTAACGACAAACCCTTCTATCACACTTGGTTCCATACCAGGCGCCGGATGCAGGGCTCTGTACATGTCAACTCGCTTTCTCCTCACCACAGCCCCATGAGGTAGCCTTACACCATCATCATCCCCTTTTCCCAGATGAATAAACAAGCAGAGAGGTGAGGTGACTTGCCCACAGTGACACAGCTGTGAAGTAACACAGCCAGGCCTGTGTGGCTCCAGAGTTGCTACACGTCGCCCTCTACCACTCTGCCCTGGTAGAAAGGGCCAAATTCTCCCCAAAGCCATTTTATATTTCCCCTGTTAAGTGACTCAAGTTCCAGACAGGAAGTAGAATATAAGATTTATTCTCCCCCCAGGGAAAAGACCGAGTTGAGTTATTCTAGACTTTTGCATAAACATTCACAGCCCCAAATTTTACAGGAGCTTGTGAGACAGAGTCTCCCCTGATCATGAAGATCTAGGGACCACAGGGCAAATAAAGTCTGTCATGTACACAGGGGTTCCCTGACAGAGTCAACCCTGCTTTAAGACATGGAGATCTGATTCTAGGAAGCCTCTACTTCTGTCAGTGCTGTTACCCCAGGTTCCACGCGCCAGAGTCCCACACTCCAACCTATGAGGGTCACTGAGTCAGGGCTCAGCCAGCATTACCCAAAGCCCAGAGCCTCTCATTGCTTCAAGAACCCTGCCCTACTTATATTTAGGTAGGAGGAACAAGTTCATTGGAATAGACAAAGGGGAATGAAGGGAAGGGAGGGAGGATGGGGAATAGGAAGGACAGTAGAATGAATTAGACATTAGAAACTCCCAGAATGGAAGCCAAAGAGAATCCGCAGCTGCTTTCTCTGAGCCCATTATGCTTGGGAAATCCAGCAATGAGAAAAATCCCTCCTACCTTAAGTGGGGGAGAGGAGGAGGCAGGCCTGCTGTCTCCAGTAAAACAAACAAGGACGCTTAATTTCCAGGCCCTGTGGAGAAAAGATATTATTAGAAAGTCTGAGCTCACAGGGACTCTGTGTCCTTGCAGGGTGACTGTCAAGTTCTCTGGGTCATGGGTTTAGCCAGTAAGTCTAAGGACTTTGGTTCATTAGAAAACAAGAGCAGAACTTGTTTACCTTCGGCAGTACATGGGGTTGTATCTCTGATAAGACTCAGTCAATATGCCTTTCCAAAGCACCCAGTTTGTATTGCCCTCTCCTTTGGGGAAGCCCCAGACTGCAAGAAGTCCCAAAGGCACTGCTATCTTGTGTGTTTAGCCATTTTTAATTTTTTTTCAAACTTGCTCATGCACAAGTATTCACCAATAACTCCTATATGGAAAATAAGCTCCCATGGAAATCAGGGTGATATGTAGAACAAGGTTTGCAAGGACAGTCAAGTACAGGGAGTTGTTTTTCCTGTCACAGAATGGAGCCCACAACTCCAAACCGATTCTCTGGTGCCCAATAAAGAACCTTCCAACCCCAGCTCTGTACATATTCCTGATAGCCCTTTGTATTAATTGGGGTTCTCCAGCAAAATGGAATAGGACATAGATACACAGAAAGCAATTTATTATGAACAACTGGCTTCTGTAATTGTTGCTGCTCTGACACAGCAGGCTGGTGGTGTAGTTCCTGCCCATACTCAAAGGCCCGAAGCCAAGGGAGCCAAGGTCTGAAGGCAGGAAAAGATGGAGATTCCAGTTCAGAGGGCGAATGTGTCCTTACACCTTTTCACTCTATTTGGGCCCACTGTGGACTGGATAATGCAGATCTTCCTTACTCAGTCCACTTATTCAAAAGGTAATCTCCTCCAGAAACGCCCTCACAGACTTACCCAGAAATAATACTTTACCAGCTATGTGGTTATCCTTAGCCAATTTGACACATTAACTTAGGCATCACACTCCTCTTACCTAGAAGTCTTTGCAGATGGGTACCTTGAAACCCTGTCTTGCCTAAAACTAGGGCAAGAGAGAATCCACACAGGTAGGAAACCAGCAACATCTACAGGCCACAGCACCCTGCAGTAGCGTCCAAACCCCGCCGGAGTCACAAAAACTCCTGACAACCCTGTCCTGTTTACATTCAGGTCATGTGATCCATTGACCAAGAAGAAAGAAATGTCCAGAATGAAAACCAAAGAGAACCTGCAGCTGCTTTCCTTAGGCCTGCCACAGTTGGAGAAAAGAGTGATAAGGAAATCACATGAGCCCATGCTGGTGACAGCACTTCCTAAGCTTATGCAGACACTGTGGAAGGACTGACAGTTTTGCTGAGGAGAAAGGGACTTTTTCTAGAGGTCAGGTTGCTTTTCATTCCGAGTTTTACCCACTGGCACACCTCCCCAGAGCAATGAGGCATTTGCACAAAAGCAAGCTTTTTCCAAGCAACCCCGTGAGCATGGACAATGGCTGGGATGACAGGTACCCAATTCAGCTGCAGATACTGATGCTCTGATTGGACTGTCCTTGGCAGTGCCGAGCCCAAGCAGGCTGCTCTGATGGGGAACAAAGAAAAAGAGAGGAATCTACTGGACAGATCAGGTCCTCCTGAAGAACCTGTAGGCTCTCTCTGTGAGGAGGGGGGAGGAAAGGAGTCCTCTAAGAAGGACAATGTGCCATGAGGCAGCTCCTGAGGCTCTTGTCATGCCCCCGTCCCTCCCTGCTCAGTGTGCTAAACAGTGGACAATGTTCGTTCCTGTGTGTGGCACACCCCACTGTCAATCGGCTCCTGCACCCAGCCTCCCATGCAACAGCAGCAGCTATTGACTGGTTTCGTCCAGAGTTTCTGACTTGGTGCTAATGGCTTCACCTGCTCACCCGGTCCCACTAGCTAGGGGTCACCTGGTCCTCAACAGCTCTCATTTCCATCTCCTCCCTCCACCACTGCTGCCTTAGTTCAGAGCCTATCCCTCTCTCCTATATGCTGCAAAACTGTCCCTGACACAAGCCTTGTTCCCTTTGGTGTGGTCACTCAACAGCTGTGCTCCCTTCCTCCTCCAACTGGCATATTGCAGCGTCCTCTGGAAGCAGAGCTCAAGTGAGCTGGGCCAAACTGCCACAGGAGGTGTTGACCGGAAGCCTGGTGTCACCCACTTTATTACTCAGAACTTTTCTCCAGGCCATTCAGTAGGGAGCTGAGGCTCCTCGAGTTCTGTTTTTGAACATCAAGGGCAAGCATCTTTTGCCAAGGAAATGAGCACGCATGATTCAGAGGAGCAGGGCCTCCACAAGGGTGATGATGATGCCTTCTCCACAGCAGTCAGTGCACTCGCAGACAAACAGGGTTGACCAGGACAAGACGCTCCCCATATGCCCATCTCCTGGAGCAAAGGTGATCCATGTAGATATTAGATTCAGCTTAAAATGAGACTAAATAGACAAAACACCAGCCTCCCTGGCAAGGCCCCAAGTCATAGGGCAGGAAGGCGCTGTCCCAATACAATGGTCCCTCTTTTCCATTCTGTGACTGATGGTCTCAGTCTCTCCCCTCATTGGACCAAGAGCTTGACTTGCTCCAAGTGTTTCTTTTCTCTGAGGAAGCTTAAACGACTAGCCACTGTGGCACACAGAACACTTTGGACTTCATGCAGTTAAAGAGTGAGACGCTTCATTGTATTTTATGTTTTTTGCAATGTTGGGCATCAAATACAGGGTCTTGCACATGGTAAACAAGTGCTCTACTGCTGAGCTATATTCCCAGACCTGGGATGCTTCATTTTAAAAAGCAGGTGCCAGACACCTTGGAAAAGGGAAAAGCCCTTTTCCTTTTTTAGGGGGGGAATGAGAAGTGGGGGGCCACCAAGGATTCAACTCAGGGATGCTCTACCACTGAGCTACGTCTCCAGCCCTTTTTTAAAAAAACACTTGTTTTTGTTTTTTAGTTGGTAGATGAATACAATACTTATATTTATTTTTATGTGTCCCAGAACAACTAACCAGCTCTCTCCTTCACTTCACTCACCCTATGGGCAATATCAAGAGATAAGCCTATTTTTGCCTATGGTTGTAGAAAAAAAATATTTCAAGTCTTGGTACTAACATTTGAAAATACTGTAGCATCAAAATACACCACCATTGAAGTAGATGTCTCTCCTATAAAGTGAGATCGCACATCCCTGTCTAAAACCAGAAGGCAGCTCTCTCCCCCTGCCTCCCAACACTAGGGAAAGGAGAATTTAAAGGGTCCTATTTCTTTCAAAAAATTGGTAGGGATTAAATAAAATACACCCTTAAATATTTCTAAATGAAATACTGGAAGTATTATTTAAATTATTTAATTATTATTTAAATTATTTTTAATTTATTTTTTATTTATTTCTTAGTTTTAGGTGGGCACAATATCTTTATTTTATTTTGATGTGGTGTTGAGGATTGAACCTAGTGCCTCACTCATGCCAGGCGAGTGTGCTACCACTTGAGCCATATCCCCAGCCCCTCTAAAAATATTTTTTTAAAGAGAAATTTTAATTGAAGCTTTGCCTTTTATAGCACTGATACTTATCATTGCTGTTTTTTCCTTTCCACATTGGTTTTTTTTTTGGGGGGGGGGGTACCCGGGATCAAACTCAGGGGCACTTGACCACTGAGCCACATCCGCAGCCCGATTTGTATTTTATTTAGAGTCAGGGTCTCACTGAGTTGCTTAGAGCCTCACTTATTGCGAGTCTGGCTTTGAACTCACGATCCTCCTGCCTCAGCCTCCCCAGCCGCTGGGATTACAGAGGTGCACCACCCACCCGACTCTACATTGGCTTTTCATTCTTCTCCCTTTATGTCTTGAAGTATGAAACCTTTACAGTTTGGGAACTATTTAATGGTTGCACCAACCTTTTTCTTAATGTCAAGAAATTCAAGATTTATAGTAGGACAAATCCTTAATGTAAAGGAATGCAAGCAAGACTCAAGACCTATATCCATACCCAGCAGATCCAGGCCAGGGGAGCTGTCTGCCCTGTGACACTCTGCCACCTAGTGCCCAAATCTGGATATTGCAGTCTACCCAGCACTCTGTCCTTCCCTTTTACTATGTGGCCACTGCCACCACCATACAACCAACCCCAGTGTTGTGTAATGAGAACTAGTGCCACCATGCTGCAGAAGGAAAGAAAGTCTGGAACCAGACAGACCTAACCTAGACACGTAGCTTCCCCTGTTCACCAGCTGAGACTGTGGGCGAAGGACATCAGGGCAAGTGCAGCTTTTAGCTTCTGCATCTATAGAATGTAGGTGAGGACTACACCTGCCTCTAGACCCATGCTCACTCAACTGCTAGAGAGCCAAGTGGGTGTCCTGTTGTAAAAACTAAATGAAATAGCATATGTGCCTGCAAGTCATAGATCGTTGAGCGCTGCATGGGCAATCAAAGAATGAATGGAATAACTGACGGCAGAGACTTGGCAAGAAGCTTGGGGCCACCAGTCCAACCTCCTTCTCAGTGCTCCCAGGAGCCCAGTGAGGCGAGAAGCAGGATGGCCGCTGCTTAGGGTGAGGCCGTCTTTGGGATGCTCTTATAGTTCCAAGTCCAAATTCACAGAGATGAGAAAATGAGAAATGGACTGACCTCACTGGGTTCAGGGCAGCCCTGGTCCAGACAACTGGGTCAGGGGGACCAAGGAGGGGTGGGTCCTTATGAATGGGATCGATATTCTGGGGTGTTCACTATACCATAGGAGAGCCTGAATGAAGGAGCAGTGGCAACAGGGCTCTAGAAAGGAGACCCCCTGAAACCAGGGAGGCCTTCGAAGTGAACCTTGTGAGATCTAGACTCTAGACTTTGAACTTCTAGAAAGCCAATGGGTGTGCACCGATTCATTCATCCTCTCTTAAAAGAATCAACTGGTACAAGTATCATTTATTATTACCACTTTAAATATAAGAAATTTATATTTAGATTCAGTGCTGCACGTTTCAGGAATAATTTGCCTGAAGCCAGATCCCACATTCTGGTTGAGGTCTCCTTTCATGACAGCACCGTGACCCCCACACAAGGAGAGCATCCGGAGGGACACTCTTGAAGGCAACCCTTCAGGAAGGCCTGCCAATCAGGGCAGGAGGCCTCGTCTTCTACCTTCTGTAAAAAATTGTGTGTGAGTGTGTGTGTGTGTGTGTGTACGTACACACCAGCACGTGCACATCCCTCTACCAGAGCAGGGGACTGAACCAGGGCCTTACACTCCACCATAGAGCTACATCACAGCCCCACTTATGTTTATTTTGTCTTTCCTATTGCTTTATTGAACACACTTCATCTTTAGGATTCACAATTAGAACACAACCCAACAATAAATTATTTTAGCAAAGAAATTAACCACTTACAAGGTCATTTATAAATAATTTTATTTTTAAAAAATATTTTTAAAAATCAACAATATTTTTATTTATTATTATTATTTTTAGTTGTTCAAAACATTACAAAGCTCTTGACATACCATATTTCATACATTTGATTCAAGTAGATTATGAACTCCCATTTTTACCCCATATACAGATTGCAGAATCACATCGGTTACACATCCACGTTTTTACATATTGCCATACTAGTGTATGTTGTATTCTGCTGCCCTTCCTATCCTCTACTATCCCCCTCCCCTCCCCTCCCCTCCCATCTTCTCTCTCTACCCCATCTACTGTAATTCATTTCTCTCCCTTGTTTTTTTTTTCCCTTTCCCCTCACTTCCTCTTATATGTAATTTTGTATAACAATGAGGGTCTCCTTCCATTTCCATGCAATTTCCCTTCTCTCTCCCTTTCCCTCCCACCTTTCTAATGTTGCTCTTCCTCCCTGTTCTTAGTTGCCCTCCTTATATCAAAGAAGACATATGGCATTTTTTTTTAGGGATTGGCTGGCTTCACTTAGCATAATCTGCTCTAATGCCATCCATTTCCCTTCAAATGTCATGATTTTATCATATTTTTAAAGTAATACAATAATGCCAGGCACAGTGGAGCATGCCTGTAATCCCAACTATTTGGGAGGCTGAGGCAGGAGGATTGCAAGTTCAAGGCCAGCCCCCAGGCAACTTAGAGAGATCCTG